CGAACGTGCGCGTATGCTGCGGCGCGTGTTTTACCACGATGAAGGTAAACAGTTTATCTAATGGTTATTACAGTTCTCTGAGCGGTAGAACATGGTTTCTGGTTTACCTCTCACTGTGCCATTCATCACAATAATTGTTTCGTAATTAATGGAATTACAGAAATGCGGAAGGACCTCCTTACTATTGTGCAGTTGGGGTTCGCTTTCTTTACTGTGTTTTCCGCTTTCAATTCCCAGGGTTTTATTGAAGTAAGTAAGTTCATACAGCTGAACCTTAAAGGCAAACAATCTATATTGGCGTAGTATTTCAGATTTCGGTGTTGAGAAGCCTCTCTCAGCATGATCCATCGTCTGGAATCACCTCGAATAGCGGTTATTACAGGTATTTTGCCTTTGCATTGAAAGTTTAGCCCTCCTCATGTAGCTCGCTTGAGTGCTAAAGCCAGAAGTTTTCAGTCTGGCTATTATTTACCTGGTCTTCACTGTTTGCAACCTCTTCGCGCCCCCGATAATTCATGTCCTCGGGGCCAAGTGGGCACAGGTAGATTGAGTTTAGCTGAGTCATCGATACCGATCGTAAAGTGTGCTTACAGGTTCTCGGAGCAGCTTGTTACACGTCCTTCATGATTCAGTTCTTATTTTTAAACGCATGGAGACTTTATTTTTTCTCTGCAGTATTGGGATTTGGTGCTGCAGGTCCAGTACTTTTCTTCTAACTGTTAGCCTGGTTTTGGCTGCAGATCTTGCTCTTTTAATAGTCTTCTATGTTCATTTCTACTTTCTTTAGTAATTTGGACGGCAAATGGCGCTTATCTGGTACAATTCTCCCGAATTGGAAAAATGGGCCGAAACAGTGGAGTCCTGTGGGCAATGTTACAGACATCTCTAGTCGCTGGAGCGATCTTTCTGTTTTTCGTCCTTAGCTATGGGTGAGAATCTCTTCCTTATATTCCTGAAGGACCTTCATCCAATTGTGTGCTTTTGATTTTGTTGGGATGTTTGTGCCAAAAATGCTTGTGATTGGTCAATTACTGGCGCTCACCAATCACAAGCGAATTTCGCCCTTTCCGCGCGTGTACAGCCCACATTTAGTTTGATGTAGATGTGTCGGCCATCCTCTCAAGTGTCTTCCGAACGCACTTTTCAGCGACCTTTTCTCGTCGTATCGATTCCTCTACAGCGCTTTCGCAGTCGTTTCAAGTATTGGAATCGTCACACTTTGTCTTCTACCATCTAGCCCACCTGTTAATTGTGAGTGAGCTTTGTCAATAGATCGGTTTCACACTTTGCATGCATGATTTGGCGAGATTTCACGGTCTATATTGCTGTCGTGAGTTTGTTCTAGTAGACGAAAGCCTCCAAGATCCACTTTTTGATGAAAATGCGGATGAGCTGGATGTTTCAGCTCCTGTCGACATAACTTCAACGAGGGATTGGCGCGAGGAATTCAGTAGTTTCTTTTTTGGAACTATATTGGGACCGTGTCCGGGATGCTTGACTCTTGTAGAGCACACTTTCTCGCTTCTTGCCACCAGAGACATGATGCTTTTATCGGTATGTTTCCTGTACAGTGGTATCGAAACATCTTTCTATACAGGTACGGTTTTCTAGTTTATGGTTGTGATTTGTTGAACGAATTTGATAAGTTTTCAGGAGTGTATACAGCATGCCTTTCTGCAGCGACCGCACTGAATGGAGGCTCCGAGAAAATTATCGCATATGTTGTGTCTGCGAGGCGCTAGGACGTGAGCATCAGATGGATAATATCGTCTCAATGGGCTCCTGGAGGTTGACTTTTTCTCTGCTTCGTTCTAACCCGCCATTCGTTATTGGTTTGTTATTCAAGATACTCTTCATGCCAGTTATCGGCTGTAACAATGGTGGCCTCCCTTGGCCGTAATGTTGATTTACTGGTGCCGGTCCGGGAACTTTGCTAGACAGCTCGGCAGTGCGCCCCTCCCCACTCCCAATTCGGCTCTCACTACGGGGGCTCGCTATACGCGGTAGATCCAGCGGGGTCGAAGTGCAGAAAGGTAGCGCAGGGTCACTCTAGTTGGCTTAGCGCAGTCGAAAGGTCAACGACAATCCGGGGGGGGTCGTACCTGGTTGAGTTTGTAGGAGGGGGGGTACCCACCTTTTTAGTTGCTCGAAATCACGTGGGTGGGATTGAGGTGAAACTAAGATTCCGTGGGTAGTAGGCTGGGCGAGTGGAGGGCGCGCAAGATAAAAATTTGCCGTTTCAGCCGGGACTCTCCATGGCGTATTATACCGCCGCCGGGAGAAAGGACAGCAGTGAGATTATAGGGTAAGTAATCCAGCTGGTGGCAGAGTAACTTCGAGACCGGGCTGAGAGAGTCACTCAGTGTGCATACATATTAATTGGTAATCTTACCGTTTTCAGCATGACAACGGTGGACTGCATTGTTTATACCCCTCCCCACTCGACGCATTTTTGGAGAGGAAGTGAAGTGGGCTGGGGTGGTTTCGCTCGCCAAAGGCCCGTCGCCAGATACGGGAGGTACTTAATGACCTAATATAGCACGGAGTCATGGTCGGCTCGAGGGTCGAGCAGCGCCGAAGCGTCCAACGTCACAAAATCACCTAGGGAGGCGGCGGTTCGTAAAAAATTTCAGGACAAAGTAACAAACAATAGGGTTGCCGGATTGGGGATGCGATAGCACGCGAACGAGCCTGCGAAATAATTGAAAAGCTGCTCATCAAGTCGCCAACGTCTGCCAAGTTAGCGTTTATTCAAATCCCGCACGTGTTCGCCAGCCACTACCGACCCTCGCTCGCGCTCGCCGCGGCCGCGCCCAAGTGTGAAGAAAGTGGGGGAGCTGCTAAAGTGCTTATTGCGATCTTCGCTTTGTAGCGCGCTATGCATATGTGGTGTGTGGTTGATCACTCCCTATGACCGGTTCAACTTATTTCAAAATTTACTGCACAATATGTGAGTTGCTGCATCCGAAAAAAGAAAGTAGAGTAGGGAGACGTCGGATTATGGAGAGAACAATTGAAACTCTTAAGCATTTTTAAAAGCGCATTGCGCATATAGGCGGGGTTTGCTGTTTTCTTATCTGTTTGCCGTTTTTCGTACGTTAACACGTTGACGACAGCCCCTTATGCGTGTACCTCGGCAACTTTTTGTTTATTTTTTTCACAATCGTCATAACTTCTTCAATAATTCCACTACTGGTAATTGACTGCACAGTTTTCGGATAAGATAACGCATGCACACAGTTTTGAAATATGAAAAAGGCCAAATAAACCAAAAAAACTAGCCAGAATCGGGTGAAATTCTGACGCGCATGCGCGTCATGCTGTCGTCAACGTGTTAAGGAGGGGCTGATCAGAAAGGGCTCAATTTTTGGCTTCATGATCGCTTTATGATACATAATGTGCTTTTGAAGATGCTTGACCTTTTCATTTGTGACAATTCTACTTTCACTTCCATCCCCAGTCATTCAAACTCAGGCAGTCGTGGAGTAAACCTTCAAGGGTTACAGCATCCACAACGAAAAGCTAGTACGCTCGCCGTGAACTATTACAGAAAATATAGTTCGTTACACTATGTATTTTACTCGGAAATCGTCAGTTGTTCCATCGCATTGTTGTAGAATCTATCGAAAAGGTTTTTGTTGTTTAGGTGGTTTACTATTTGGTGTGTTTCCTCGCAGTAACAGTCTGAATCGCTCACAGATCGTCATTCTTGGCATGATTCTTCATGTGACTGCATTCTTTTTATGCTTCCTTAATCTTCCCATGGAGGCTCCTCTGCATAAGACATCAGCCATCGGGTATATTGAACCAAGGTAAGCTCGAAACATTCATTTCCTACTACTGTTTTATGGTGCTATAAAGTTCTTTGTTGTTTGGTCCCATCATCAGTGCTGCACCATCATTGATTCTTTCAATTGAACTGGGTTGAATCAAGGGTTTATACGCTCCAGTGGAAGTTATGAGTTACTGTCTAGTTTTTGCCGGCGTCTTTTAATATATGCTTTACCAATGCACCATTATTCGATCTTACTTTCATGCTTTATCGTAATTGCTGCTTTCAATTTCGTACTAGTATTGTCGTATTGTAGCGTTTTCGTCGCCATTGTGACTGGTTACTTCCTTGGTCTTGCTGATTCGTGCTGGAATACTCAGATTTACACACTCATTGGTGTCGCATACAAGGACGAGTCATCGTGTGCTTTTGCCCTTTTCAAGTTTTTCCAGGTACGGTTTATGACACTTGGTCGAGCAAGAATCTCACCGAGATTTTAGTACTTTGCAAATATGATTTATGTCCAATAGATCTTACTATGGGGCCGCTTTCATGCTTAAGGTTTTGGGGTAATAGGAGAATAGGCGAAGATGGGCAGCTTCCAGGTTTGAGAGATAACCAGATTAGGTGACCCAGCAGAAGGATTGCGAGCTAAGCCTCGACTTCAAAATAGGTGTCAGTAGCCTGATTTCTTACTGTCCTATTTCCCCAATCGTCGTGTATCTAATCTTTTCAGCTGAGTCTCCTGCCCTCCTGATCCTCTGTCCTCCGATTGTGATTCTCTTTTAATCTATTCTCTTCTCTTAATCTCGTGATTTTCTTCTGTTCAAATTCGTTAATATGAATTCCACTTGAAGCAGTATCGTGCGGTATACGTTGTGGGCAGAGTCAACCCTGCGTTGCGCAGTTCGCAACGGCACGTTGAGAGATCCTCAACGCACGCTGTATGGGCGGAGACACAGACGGCTCGAGCATGCGAGTGTGAATGTTCGCGCGAGAGAACGTGTCTAATCGGGCGAAACTGCGCAACGTGGGGTGGGTAATAAGATGCACAAAAGTACATCGCACGAGGGAAGATGTTTTCACGGAAATCGGCTCGGACATATCTACCGTAAGTTAGGGTATTTGTTCTTTCTTTTCATGCATGTAGTGGTCAATCATAACTGCCAAGGATTGAAATGCTCATAGTCGTCCTACTTGTGCATTTAAAAGTTACATTTTGCCGGTAGAAAACTTGTTTTCAGAGGTTCTCTTGAATTGTTTTTGTCTGCGATCAGTGACTCTCTAACAACAGCTGTTTTTAGTCACTAGCGGCGTGTGCTTCCTTCTACTACAGCTCCATCTTGCTGCTTCACTGGCAGCTACTCATGTTGTGTCTTGGAGCAGCAAGCGCAGCCGTCTGCTTCTTCATGGTTGCACTCAAGGCCGAAGAACAAGTGGAAGTGGATTAAGGTCGGTTTGGTTCTGTAAACACAACGGCGGGGGAAGTATGCCTGTCGATTTGTGATCATTTTTCTCCCATGCTAGTTCATAAATCGGGCTTCGTAATCTCATTCCTCTTGCAGCCAGGTTGACTGGAAGCCAGTACAGGTAAAAATGAATTTTGATTAGTAGTTTCCTTGTTATCGAATGTTTGTAGTATTTTTTGTTTCTTTTTCATCAAGAGTTTTTTAAAATCTGTTTCACTTCTTTCAAGCATATTACTTCTTTTTTCTACGGTTATTATTGCAAATACTTTTAAGTCTGAGAATGACACTTTAGATTTTGTTATGATGTGTAGTAATGAATATAATAATAGTGTAAAGAGCATGACTATTGTTAAATTTTGAACCGTTTTTTTTTGTTGCATCATGTTTCCAGTTTTTTCTTCCCGGTCACTTTGTTAATCGTAAGCTGAGAGTTTGTGTATATGTGTCTTGAATAATGGATACGAAGTTCAAAAGCTCTCTTAAAACAGTTCTTTGCAATTTTTTCATCACTTTTGCTGTGAATAGTTGCTTTTCTGTGTCACAATGTTATATTCATCATCGGATAAGTGCTATGGGTGATGTCGTGGATTTGCTTTTAGAAAAGTTTATGTGATGCATATTTTCTAATTGTTGTGTGGTATTAATAAATTTTTTAAACCGCTATGTTAGTAAAGTATTTTCTTAAGGAAGTCGGGTTACCTGTACTGATCAGACCATGGCTCTAAAAATAGGGCTTGCGATTTTTGTGAAAAAAAATAGGTTCGGAAGGAATTATCACGTTTCCCGCCGTGCTCAACTACCCTGTCATTTTCGGAGGGCTAAACGTCGGATGGGATAGCTAAAGCGTAGTCCTTGCGCTGAAAACGGCTGCTCCTATTTATTCCAGTACAACGGTCTACGCAACGTGTTGGTCCAAGCCTTCTTTATGCTTTTTCGTGTTTTCTCTATACTGATGGCCTTGTCTTTTTTTTATCGTAGAACTCTCCACCTCACCGGTACGAGTGTCACTAATTCTAACGTTTTCGCTTGCTCCTTTGCTCCTTTTTCTCATTGGCGGTATCCATTGCACTGAATGCAGTGAAGACTTTCATTTCGATCTAGGTAATTACCTTTTTAGTCACGAAATATGCTCGTGGTTTACCGCACGGCTTCCGACATCAGATGTGCGTCGGGTGCAGACCGTACACCACAAGTGACGACGGCCTCCAAGCAAATCTGGTAAAAGTGGTTCATAGTGATAGCTGATAGTTGGTAAATGATAGTTGTAATTAGTGACAACTGATAGAATACAACTGCAACAGGCTAATCATTCATTGCAGAAAACTTTTACATTTTGAGGAGGCTTCTGTGGCTTGCACTCGACCCACATCTGTTTTCGGGCTACACCACGGCTATTTTGTGATCAAAAAAGTAATTATCTGGATCGAAGACAGCGTTCATAGTTCGCGATCGTATGTGAGATCAGGCAATTAGGCGATTTAGCGATTAGTCTTTAAGGAGTAGGATAAGTATCTATCAGGCAACTAGGCCACTGGCGACTTGACCAGCAAGACTGCATGCTTATCGATTGGTTGCTCCGCTCACTAAGCGATTTTACTAACGTAAGAGTCTTTACCTCAGCTTTGCTCAGAACAGTAGTGATCGTCTCAGAAGTTTCATTCGAATGAAAGAATGAATAAAGATCTCGGCCGTTCGAACGGATTCCAGGAATGATTATCTGAAACGTTTTGAATTGTGCGGAGATTGAACTGTTTGAGAGTTCAAGACGATGTGAAGGCTCACTTTTACACGAGAGCGGAAATGATGGTTTTGTGTCAGTGCAGTGGAATCATTGGATTGTTTTAAAGCAGGTTCATCACATGAGCTTCTGAAATTCAAGGGTTCTCATTATTTGAATTTGAAAGGAAAATCGCTCGCGAGCTGAAATACGTGAATCTAAAAAAAACTGTGTTCTGCGAGCTTTTCATTGTTCTTGGAATGGATTTTGGCGCTATTGTAAGATGCAGGGACACCCTCTAGGACCAAGCCTAGGAGAGGGCAGGAACTTCGAGGAATTAGCAGATGCTCACAGCACTATTCTTAGTCTCCCCTCCGTCAGTTTAAGCATAGTAACGACTTGAAACGAAATGAGATGTTTCTCAATTCGATACAAAGGCGAGGCATGGAAAAGAAGTTGGCTTTTGGCCGGCTATGTATAAGCCGACGCAATGAAAGAGTCTGGTTAAGGCGAGCGATTTCAGAGAGTAGAGACAAATCGATCGATAGAATAGGATGGAGTGTGAGATGTGAATGTAGTAAGTCAAAACGCCTGAAAAAGTTTCTAGTGAAGGCACTCCCAAGAACCAAGTGGAAGCATCCCCGTCGCCAGCATCTGTGAAGACGTCCGTGGGCACTTTGAACGCGTAGCAGCCCTTTCGATTTTTCGAATTTTTTTTACCAAAACAAAAGCAATATTTCTGTTCTTTTCATTCTTATCGTGGATAATGAGTCTCAAGCCAGTGATTTATGGCTGAAATAGAATCATGATTTTTCTCCGTGAAGGAATCCTTTAAGTATGCACAGCAAATATTTTTTTTCGAGAAAGATTCAGTTCGAGCTCAGCCAAGTTATCAGGGTTGAAGGTGGAGGAGAAGAACAACAGTTTTGGCTCTCCTCTTCCATGAGTAAAAGCAAGAATACCTTTCTGCAGGCCCTCTGTTCTCTTCACAGCGTAAATCTGACAGGAACTCTGAGCTCCGTTTAACTTGTTGGGCGTTTTCCATATGGCAGTTTCATCCATCGACCAAATCACCATACATACAATGTATATACAAATGACAGTCAGTGCAAATCTGTTTCGGCGAGTACTCACTCTCATGCGGTTTCTGCAAGATCATCATCTAAGTCCGAATTTCATAAAGGCTCTAAAAAACTTCTACATACATTGTGATTCATTCCTACCACCAGCATCACTTGGTAAACTCTTGTTCGCCACATGAACAAATAGCCGTTCATGGCGCTCACACGGGAGATCCCTTAATGGCCCTACAAGTCAAAATTGTTTCAGAATCGATGAGGAATTCGTCTGAAGCCCCTTTTCCTTCGCCTGAGCACAATCTTAAGCAAAAAGATGCCATTTGGCATCTAAACACATCGTTCAAAACAATGACATTGTGACTCACTCGCAGTCACGTCACTGAGTGCACGTGAACATTTCATATTGCGATGAGATTCCCGTTTCAGCGTAAAGTCATTGAATTCCTCATGCATCAGCGGCACTCGCACATTTCATTAAGAACACAAGTCATACATTGAACAAATTTTCACAAGCCGTTGCCATCATTTTCACAAACAATTTATTTCACACGAGTTCAATTACGACAACGAAATTTATTCTTACCAGCTCCGATCCTCGCGCCGGGCGGTAAACAGCAAAGCAAAACTAGAAATATGAATGACCAGCATATTTACACACCTGCTATCGAAAGATGTTCATTAGAAGCATCTTGCACAAGAAAGCGAGTTCTTTGTCTAAGTTTTGAAGGAGAATTTCATAAGGAAAATCATCCATTCATTGCAATAGACAAGTAGTTAATGGTATGTATGAAAGAAAAAACCATGAGAAATGCTCAGAAGTCGAGAAATGGGACCCCCCTTGATGCGCCTCTCATCGGTGCTGCCCTCTTCAACACTAACGCTCTCTCCGCTAAACAGCTAGAGGAAACAGGGAGGGAGGGGGGGGGGGGTTGTATCGCGCCGATAGGGTCCAAAAGTGCCACGCAAGGCAATGATACGTTGTGGGCATACCCTTTGATGCGAATTGCGTAACGGTTCCCCTCTTGAGGAGGTCCGCATGTCTCTCCACTAGGTACATTCCCTCTTCATACAAGGGAGGTCGTTCAGGGTGTGCCAAGCTTTTTCAAAATGGTTTCTTGCATGACATTGGGGCACATATGGGGACCACAGAAGCATGGTTCATTTTTCCTGAACGGCTCTCTGAATACCAGAAAAGGGGTCCCTAGTTCGATTCCTCGTGGTGACAAGTTTTTGCATTTCGTGTTGACGTTTCCAAATTCGCGCAAAATGGAGTTAGCATGAATAATTAGTACCAAATTCATGATTAGGAACGTCAGTAACCCTTACAAATAGACTTTGATTGAAAAACTGGTGAAAAAGGTGTGACTAGGGACCCCCTTTTCTGGTATTCAGAGGGCCGTTCAGGAAAAATTAACCATGGTTCTGTGGTTCCCGCATGTGCCTCTATATCATGCAAAAGACCGTTTTGAAAAAGCTTGGCACACCTTCCTTGTAAGGCCCTTCGTCCTTATAGTGGACATTCCCCTTACATGTATTGTGCGTTGTCACAGAAGATCACGTCCAAGTTTTAGCGAAAAAATATTTTTTGCGCGACCGAGAAACAGGCTTTTTGGGAAAAGTCATATCTGAGCAAGCAACTTGCTAACTGCGCGGCTTAATAATCTCATAGTATATGACTGCTGGGCGTGTGCGGCTTACATCCGAGTTTTAAAACCACAACTAACGCATCACAGTCACGTTTACATGTCAACATGTTCTATAAGTTTAGAAACTCAATGGTAATTGTGACATTACGACGGGAATTCAAAAACTTAAAATCTTTATAATTTCGCATCCTTGTTGAGAAGTTGAGTCAGCGCTAATTTCTCATTGTTTTTCTTTTCCTCGCAAAGCAGGACATATAGGACACCAACGTTTGAGTGATGAATGGGGCTTTCCAATGATTTCGCGCGAATTCCTTCAAATCCATCATTCGTAGACAGAATGAACGATCCTTTCCCCTTTCCTCGACTAACGAGAAGTGCATCCGAAACACGCCTTTTCACCCCTACTTTTATTTATTTATTTATTTATTTATTTCAATACACTCAAAGGTGTGCCCAATAAAAAAAAAAAGAATAATAAGTATGAAAGCAGCGAGATATAAACAGCTACACTTGGGGCTCACCATTCGGCTTTAAAAAAAA